GAGAGAGAGAGAGAGAGAGAGAGAGAGAGAGAGAGAGAGAGAGAGAGAGAGAGAAAATTGGCAGAGAGGTTGCATTTACAGATCAACACTGCACCTTTACATATCACAGAGCTATAGTCTGCACCTGTATGAACACGGTGAAGGTGATGACGGCAAATGTTGTTGTCAGAAGCAGATCCTTGACCTCTGACGGGACGGCGAGAGATGCAGCCAGCGAGAAGCACACAGCTCCGCGGAGACCGCCGTAGCTCTGTAACAGCAATGACGTGTCAGCGTTCATACACATTAGCACGCATGCACCCACGGAGGGAAGCACGCACGCACGCACGCATGGAGGCACGCACGCATGGAGGCACGCACGCACGCACGAAGGCACGCACGCATGGAGGCACGCACGCATGCACGAAGGCAAGCACGCACGGAGGCCCCAGACACAAGTGCGTCCGATTCTGTGACATAAGTGGTTCTAGACTGGTAACCCAATAGTCCAGGCTAGGCGTAATAGTCATAATAGTGTAAGCTTGTTTTTCAACATATCTAATGTTTTTTTGCTGTTTCTGGTCAATTTTAAGGTGCTGATTCCAAATCCGATGTATGCCAGCTCGTAAGTGTTGAGCATTTTTTTCTAGAGCACAAAATCCAAAATGTCTGCCGGAAATTACACTTATTTGTAAATAACGGCGACAATATTGAATTTAGACCCGAATTATGTGTGGCACATGTGTATAAACTTGGCTATTGCGTACATTTTGGTACCAACACCATTACTCTATCTGGTGTAGTTCTTGAGATATTAACTTTTCATGGTTTTTCTTTTTACGCGATAGCGCCAATTTCCAACGTGACTAGTCTAATTTTTCAACAATTCAAACCGTCTGGTTCCAAATCTGATGTATGCCAGTTAATACAGGTTAAGCATTTTTGAATAAAAACAATAAAAATGGCAGCCAAAAACCTTATAGCAGACATCGATTTTAGTGATTATGTATTGCCAGTGATATGTAAGAAGGTCAAACAAATGTCAGCCGTTACAAAGCAAAAGCTGAACAGTGGGGCTCCTGAGAACATGAACACTGAACTTATCTATGCCCTAGTCATTGCAATCATGGCTTCTTCCAGGGAAACCATTTCTACCAAAACCCTCTTCTCCTATGAACTAGCTCCCTTTCCATCTGCTCTGTTCAATGCTAATCGTGACATGAGAACAACCTCCAAGTCTGTGCTGAAGTTCAAGATCAAAGTGGAATGTAGTCAAAGAAACAGGGCACCTTGCGAGAGTGGCTCATTATATTGCTCATATAATGAGCCAAATTGTATTTTCTGGTGGCCATTTTGGATTTTGTGCTCTAGAAAAAAATGCTCAACACTTACGAGCTGGCATACATCGGATTTGGAATCAGCACATAAACATTGACAGGAAACAAACAAAAAACATATATGTTGAAAAACAAGCACCTGTGCCCTCTAGCCCGGACTACAATCTCTATTACTTTGCTCAAGCTACCAACATGGAATTGAGACATGAACAGTGTTAGAACACATGGAAACTCACTGTAATGAACATATCTTCAAAGTGAATCTCCTTCACGGCTTGAAACCAATTGACAATCAATGTCAACAGAAAAATACCTATGGAAATGAAAAATAAGCAGCAAAGGCAAATCATCAAACAAAATCACAATCAAAGCTAAATCACCGAAAAAAGCAAACCTTTATCCAATTAGCCAGCTTGCAAAATTGCAATGGATTTGCTGATACACACACTTAACGATAACATATAACCGCAAAATTAAATGTGATGCTGATAGATTCTGATAGATTTACAAAAATAGAAACAACAATGTATTGTGTTCAGGCCACTCGCGTCATAGAATTTATATAAATGGTAGAGAACAAATAAACAGGCACTCAATACAATGACTGGCACGCGATTTATTTTTTAAATATTAATTATAATGTCCCATGATTACCAACTTTGGCTCATTATATTGCTTTCAGCCTACCATGCTTAACTTACTGAAAAAGCGGAAGAGGAGACACAAGAATATGGTCCACATGACAAAGCCGGTGTTCCACGAATGGTTCGTTCTGACGAGGGCCACTCCAAGGAAGAGGAAGATGATCACATCCGATGAAGAACTGAAAGTAACCTTGCATCACTCTGCCGTCGAGGCACATGCCCAGGGTTTCTTATACATGGGAGGTACAGTGGCGCACCACCATTGACAAATTCAACGTCGCCGTTATAAAAATGCTCCTGTAACAATTTCTAATATTCAAATTTTTTAAATTTTGCTGGGGGAGACCCCCAGAACCCCCCTTCCCAGCGATAGGGGAACTTCCCCCTCACCCCCCCACCCACGTCCGCATGGCACGTCTTTACATCCATCATGCACATTTTTTCCCCAAACTGGCCATTACCTCCGTTGTCTAATTTTCCCTCAGAAGAAACCCTGATACCTATAACCAAGTGTTGAATGTTCAATAAACTTTATGATAGAGGCATCTATCGGAGAGCAATGAGGTAGAAGAAACCGATGAGAAATTTTAGTGCGAACCTACCTTAGCATTTTGCTGACAACTTGTACGGCAGTCTGTGACTTGTAGGAGATATTAGCATTGGCATATTCGGCCTGTACAACTGCACACACCAATATACTGGAGAAAAAAGTCACACCACATCAATGTGCATAAAAGTTAAAAATACAACCGAGCTCAAATTGATAAGCAGGGCATTAGATCTTGCTTTAAAGTCTATTAGTGAGTATTTAAGTAGTTGATGACAGGTGCAGCAGCTATGTGCAATGGCCCAATAAGCCACAAGGCTTCGAAAGGGCCGATCGTCGTAAATCTTTTTTGGTTTTCCCTAAAACTCACCATGATAACTAATAAGCATTGATGACATTGGTTCCTGTCATGTTACATTATAACTGTTAAGGTCAATAGCTAGTATTACTCGCATTACATTGCATTGCATTGTATTGCGCCGCATTGCACGTATTGCTTGTATCACTTGTATTACTTTTATTATACTTGCAGCCCTAATTTCACATGTGTAAAACACATCCAGACAAATCCATATGATATACTTAAAGTACCACCTCTCTCACATACTGACACACTACCTGATAATCCCTGAGAAATGGAAGAGTTCAGCCACTAAGTAGGACATATATGCCAGTCCAAGCATTAACATAGGCTCCATAGCTAGTAAAGAAAATGAAAGTGTCAATGACACTGTAGCTAACCTTGGGTGTGATAGAAGAGGGAGGGAGGAATATATAAAGCAAGAGTATATATGGGAGAACTCCCATTATATAGCATATCTCCCATTATATACTCTTGATAATGATATAAGCATAAGTTTTGATGCAAAAATAAATGTTTCAGATCTGAAAGTCTGAAATCTTGACGAGAGATGGCGCTATGCCTAAATGATCGCCATTTTGGTTTTCGAATATCGCGCAAATAAAAACAATAAAATATTCCAGTCAAATTACTGTAACAAAGAATCTAAAACACAATATCACACGTATATAGGTATGATTGCAGAGTTGTTAACCAGTTAGACAAAATAAACGTAATAGGACGTTGTCATCTTTCCCATAGGAGTAACAACTGTCCATTCCAGGGCGTCAAGTGACAAGTGACGCTCAAAAAATAGGAAAATAGGAATTTCAGATGTGAAAAAATAGGAGGAAAATAGGAATTTTGGTGATAAAATATATGTTAAATAGGAATATATTTTTTGCGTTAGATGGCCCCCCAACACCCCTACAGCCATCCCGATCCACCACAAATGGTTTTATTAATATACAAATTTGGAGTTACATCACATGCGAACAATATTTTGAGGTTTTAATGAGAAATGCATGTTAAAATTGATAAGCAGTTTATACATTATACATGCATAAGCACCTATACATGTAGACTACTCCAAAATAGTATGACGTACATGTAATCATGGGCAGATCCGGCTTTTTGAAAAAGGGGGGGTCCAGTAAGAAATAAAGGGCACTTTCATAAAAAGGTGCCGAAGGCAGCTTATGCGACGTGTCTAAAAATTGGTGCATTCTGAGAGCATCTGAGCAGTAATTTTGATGTCTAGAATGCAAGATGGAGTTCCAAATTTTTAAGCAGAAAATTATCTTTTATGTGTTTTCCCTTTTTTGGGGTAAAAAAGGGGGGTCCGGACCCCCTGGACCCACCCACTGGATACACATACCACATCCAACTGAGAAACAACTTTACTTAAATAAAATCTGTGATAGTAAAGAGTATATTACGTTAATTTAAAGTAAGGGGTGGGGGTCTGGAGGTCCTCCCCCAGGAAATTTTTGAAAATTGGGTCACCTGAAATGTAAATTCTTGCATTCTGAGAAGGATACATACAATTCCGGATTCAGAAAAATGAAAAGCCCTCAAAAATAGGAAAAAATAGGAATTTGTCCAGAAAATAGGAGAAAATAGGAATTGCCCAGAAAATAGGAAAAAATAGGAATTTGTCCAGAAAATAGGAGAAAATAGGAATTGCCCAGAAAATAGGAAAAAAATAGGAAAAAATGGGAACTTGACGCCCTGACATTCATACCAAAATCTTACAAAATCGGATGAATCTAGATGGCCATTTTCATTTTTGCCAAAAAGTGGGCGTGGCTCGAAAGTAGGTCGACTGGCGTGCTCCAAAATAGGATGTTCAAATTTCTCCCATAGGAGTAACAACTGTATGCAATTTGAAACATGTGGGTCAAACGGTTCTTGAGTTATCGTTGACCGTAGGCAGACACTGAAATGCATAGCAAAATTGCTAAATCTACCTAATTTGCATAATTAAAAAAAATGAAAGTGTCAATGACACTGTAGCTCACCACAAAAAAGGACACAAATGAGTGAGTGAGAAGAAGTCAGTTTTAATTGAGCAACCATCGACGTACATTATAGAAACGAAGAGTATATATGGGAGAACTCCCATTATATACTCTTGATAATTATATGTGTAATTTTTTATGTGAAAATAATAAATAATATTATACATAAATTATAAATAATTTGTAAACCAAAATTAATCACAATTTGTGACGGTAGATGGCGCTATACCCGCTTTGATGTTTCTTAGCATAAATCATTATATCATAATAATAATAATATAATAATAATAGTATAAATCATAATATGTTCATAGCAGGAATTTTGCATTAAAGATATTGTCAATGAAATGTTGTAAAACGAACCAGACGAGTGTGACACCACAGACTGTTTGTTATCTGCGTGTCTATATAATATGCTATATAATTGCTAAACCCTACCTAATTTGCATAAATATCAAAACCCCTAGCCCTTATTCATTCACATACCAAAAATGAGCAAAATCCGTTGAACCTGAACTGACTAATGGCAATTCCCATTTTTGCCAAAAAATTGCCGTGGTTCGAAAGTACGTTATCTGGCGTGCTCCAAAATAGGACGTTTAATATGGGAGCATAGCAGTAACAACTATACCCAATTTGAAACATGTGGGCCAAACGGTTCCTGAGTTATCGTTGACCGTAGCGAAATGTTGACGGACGGATGTAAGACGTACGACGACCCATGGCAATAGTTCAGCTTGACGATGTCAAGGTGAGCTAATAAACATGGCTAAACCTACACGGAGATTTCTAAATGAAACCATTACCACTTCTATTCGTATAAATTCATGTGTGGTTACATGTAAACCAGTAATAAAACTAGGAAACCGAAAGTACTAAAATTGATAAAGTCATTGCATCATCAAAACACCCAGACATTCCTTGTACAACTAGATTTAGTATTGAAAAAAGGAAAGTCCTATAGATTGCCAGTAAACTTACCTCTGGTGTGTTTTGTGTACTTGGTGGAAAGCGCAGTCACTATCCCATGTACTAACCCGACACCAATACCACCAAGGCTGACCACAAAGAATGATGCAAAGCCCAAGGCAATCTAAAAATGAAACCATACTCAATGATGACACTGCCTGATAACGATAAAACCTACTTTGATAGTAGCTAATATCATTACCAGGGCTTGATCCAAGCCATTTTTCATACTGAAGACCAAATTATGACCCCTAGCAAAATGCCCAAATTACAAAATTCATAAAACGCCCAAATTTGCAGAGTTCTGATGCAGATCTCCATGTTTCTATCGTTATGTAGGCACTGTTTTATAATAAAATGCTCATATTAGATCTAGAATCTATTATCTGAATAAAATGTGTCGACCAAACGCCCAATTTAATATGATAGATAAGTATATATATTATTTTTTTTACGCTCGCCATGGGTGCCCATATTAAGCAGCTATATTAGCCCCTGACTACGTCCAATATTTAAGCCATTTATTATGAGTTAAAGATTTATTTTTCCATAAATGAATAACTGATGTGTGTTTGATATATAACAGTAACTGCTTGTACAGAAAATTAGTTATTTATATAAATATGACCACAGGCACCAAAAATATACTGAGCAATAATTTTTTAGTCTGAAATATATTAAGAGCACTTCTACCAGCCAGCCAGCAAGAATACAGTGACTTTTTGCTGGCACATAACTCTTATATACATACCTGTCCAGCATCAATGGTATCCATCAGCAGAAAAGAGGACATCATGTTATACATTACAACAGTAACAGCATCTGAAATAGTAATTATACACCATAAAGTAAAAGAAACCTGGCCTTAAATTCGTTTTATTAATTTGATTAATGTAGCATATTTTTCTAATTAACCAATAGGAAGCCTGTAATTAAGATATGCCTGTTGTACAGGAGGCCTGGTGACAAATCTAAAACACAACACATATATGTGTGTGTGACACTAACCAATTGCATATCTCACTAAGTTTCATATGTAACTAGAGCACTCGGAGAGCACAGACCTCCGCCAAGGCAGCTGAATTCTCTCAATGTGAAATTTTTATTACTTAATTAATTAATTAATTAAATAATTAATTGGATCCGGATCACCACCAAAATGTAATCAATTCTAAGTTACCCCATTTCTGACCTATCCTGGAAATTTTATTAATTAATTAATTAGTTAATGAATTAATTGGATCCGGATCACCACCAAAATGTAATCAATTGGATAGGTCAGAAATGGGGTAACAATTAGTTGAAAATTTTATTAATTAATTTATTAATTAATTAATTAATTGGATCCGGATCACCACCAATATCTCACCAATTGTAAGTTAGCCCATTTCTGACGTATCCTGAAAATTTTATGACAATCCGTCCATAACTTTTTCAGTTAGGCTTAACCTGTATGATACAGGCTGTTCCGGCGCGGAGGCGGCGGCGGTGGCGGGCCAATCAGCCGAACAGCGAGCGAACACAAACCCACAAACCAACACTCAAACACACGCCGGTGAAAACATAACCTCCGCCAAGCCTCCAGGGGGTCCGGACCCCCCCCCCCCGCCCCTGCTCGCGCAGAAAACGCATCTAAGGGGGTATAATTTCAAAAGATTTCTGAGGGAGGGCCCCCATACCCTCCCTTCGCTTGCTCGCAAGTTTGGGTTACGGTTAGACCCCCCTAACCCTAACCCTGTACACGCCCCTGAGATGGGATGGGATGGCATGGCATGGGATGGCATGGGATGGCAT